GGTAGCACTAACACTCACCAAATTAGCCAAATGCTAAAATTGACTTAAATTGGCTATACAAAAAGGGCTTGATTTGACTTGTTTTAGTCAAATTATAACCATTTGGCTAACAAATTGACAAAAAAGTGTTGATTTGGCTAATGCTATCCCAGCCTATAGCTCGCATTACAAATCAATTCTTGTGTACTGTTATGGTTAAATGGATGGAGAGATGGATGAATGAGACAGGAATGACAAGAGATGAATGGATGGATGGATAGCAAGAGGAAAGAAGAGATGAAGACATGGGGTTCTAAAAATACTGCTGCTTTAGATGAAAAAGCTCTACTCTGAATTAAAATTTGATCAAGGTTTTAATCCATTCTTCATGTTGGGTCAAATAATGGATAAAACGGTCCACTTGCAGAAGCAAAAACCTGCACACACACACACAAACACACACATGCATATGCACGCACACACAAACACACATGCACCTCCCCCCATTTCCATTTAAGTAACATTTCTAGCCCTGTCAGGATTAAGGGTGATAACATAATCTAATGACATGCCTCATCAACTCACTTTTAGCTTTTATGTAATCTGTCTTTATACTAGTACTCACAAACCATGATGTAACAGCACTTGACTCTGAAGTGATTGATGTAAAACTTGAATCATTTAGAACATTGAGAGGCAGAGTGGAATGGGTTTGGGGTTTAAACATGTCCCTCAGATATGTCAATTGATCTACACCTGGGACATGGTATTCTAGAGTGGAAGTAGATCTTAGTACAAATACTTCTGTTCAGAGAAACACCCTAACAGTACCTCAGATTATCAAAGCACCAGTAAGTTATATAATTAGTAAGACTATCTGGTGATGCTCTCTCAGCATGCTAGCTTTTTATTACACATCTTTCTAGGCTCTAAATACTTGATACAAGTTGGTAAAAAAGCATCGATTCTCTGTTAACAGGGATGGCAGACTAAATATATTTTTGTTTTGGGTTTTTAAAAATTCAGATTATAAAAATCTTGGCAGTCAAATTTTAGGATATTTTGTTGTTTTTACTTTTAATTTTATTTAAATGGGGATGTCCAGTCTTGGCAATTTTGGTGCATAGTGCATTTTAGTGCAAAACAAAATAATTGAGGCTTTTCCTTGAGTTGATAATTAAATTCTCTCACATACCATACCAAACCAATATTCAATGCAGTTTTATGTCTTAAAAATAGATGCAACAAACAATGCAACTTCCTCAAAATAAGGCATTGTCATGCTTTGTCTTTTTATTAATATATACTGAGTAGTGGTGTATTTTCATATCATTTTTTTAAAGGGCTGTCAATTACAATGTTTATGAATATTATAAGCTTTAAAAACTTGTTATGCCTGGAAATTTATGACTTTCCATTCTCTCCTCCCTTCCATCTCACCCCACCCATTTCTAAATTTTTTTTTTTCAGAAAGAAATTTATGCATTTTTCATGCATTTGTCACCAATTCTCCATGCCACATTTCATGTCATAAGACCCCATCTACATATATAATATTAAACAGCACTGTGCCTGATTTATGACAAAATTACTGCTAGTTTAAACAGTGTCTAATTGTTGCACTATTTCCCCGCTAATGCCATATTAGGATGGACTGAAAATGCTCCACTTAGGGTCTTTTACTTTAATTTATTTACATCCATAACACGAATCTGTTAAGAGGTTGCACATTCTGCCAGCTAATACCCTGCTTCTTTGTGGCATTACAATTTTCTGGCTATTAAATTTCTATCTGCTTCCAAGTCTAAATAGGTACATTGAAATTTCAACACAAAGGAGAAATAATTAATCTGACATTATGGGCACTTAGCCGTCATCAAACCGTCATGAAGAAACAAACCCCATTAATAGGACAAAATATCCCAGCTTTGGCCTGAATGATTTCCCCTTTGCTCTTATTTACTTCTCTTTGTTTTTATTTACTTATGCCGTAGTCTCTATTTACCTGCTTTTCATTTCAATGAACACAGCCCTTATTATGGAGAAGCAATGGACTGAGTTTAACTGTTGACTTTAAGGGTCTATCAAAAATATGCAATAACAGAGTCCTATGGAGATGATAGGTTGGTATTTGGACAGGTAGAAGTTGTGATTTAATGTGAAGCAGGTATCTACAGGTGTGAGATAGGTGACTACAGGTGTAAGGAGGGGTCAGGAGTCGAGTGAGCACCAGTTATCAAAGATAGGGAAGAGAGAGAAGAAGAACGGCAACTTTTAGGAGTCCACGACCCGTCCCAGATCATCCGTCATGCATCGCAAGTGATCTACTGAAAAAAAATTTAAAAGGTAAGTTGAAAACCAGTTTCTATTTTGGATTAGATGGAAATAATCAAAACTGTATCTACAGTATATACAGTTTGTTGTGGTGTGGTGTCATCTTCCTTTTCAGAGATATCCGAGACATAAAATCAGCATTTTTAAAGGACTAAAACATAATTTGGATTTCATCATACTGTAGAAACTAAAAAGCTNATTTTTGTTTTGGGTTTTTAAAAATTCAGATTATAAAAATCTTGGCAGTCAAATTTTAGGATATTTTGTTGTTTTTACTTTTAATTTTATTTAAATGGGGATGTCCAGTCTTGGCAATTTTGGTGCATAGTGCATTTTAGTGCAAAACAAAATAATTGAGGCTTTTCCTTGAGTTGATAATTAAATTCTCTCACATACCATACCAAACCAATATTCAATGCAGTTTTATGTCTTAAAAATAGATGCAACAAACAATGCAACTTCCTCAAAATAAGGCATTGTCATGCTTTGTCTTTTTATTAATATATACTGAGTAGTGGTGTATTTTCATATCATTTTTTTAAAGGGCTGTCAATTACAATGTTTATGAATATTATAAGCTTTAAAAACTTGTTATGCCTGGAAATTTATGACTTTCCATTCTCTCCTCCCTTCCATCTCACCCCACCCATTTCTAAATTTTTTTTTTCAGAAAGAAATTTATGCATTTTTCATGCATTTGTCACCAATTCTCCATGCCACATTTCATGTCATAAGACCCCATCTACATATATAATATTAAACAGCACTGTGCCTGATTTATGACAAAATTACTGCTAGTTTAAACAGTGTCTAATTGTTGCACTATTTCCCCGCTAATGCCATATTAGGATGGACTGAAAATGCTCCACTTAGGGTCTTTTACTTTAATTTATTTACATCCATAACACGAATCTGTTAAGAGGTTGCACATTCTGCCAGCTAATACCCTGCTTCTTTGTGGCATTACAATTTTCTGGCTATTAAATTTCTATCTGCTTCCAAGTCTAAATAGGTACATTGAAATTTCAACACAAAGGAGAAATAATTAATCTGACATTATGGGCACTTAGCCGTCATCAAACCGTCATGAAGAAACAAACCCCATTAATAGGACAAAATATCCCAGCTTTGGCCTGAATGATTTCCCCTTTGCTCTTATTTACTTCTCTTTGTTTTTATTTACTTATGCCGTAGTCTCTATTTACCTGCTTTTCATTTCAATGAACACAGCCCTTATTATGGAGAAGCAATGGACTGAGTTTAACTGTTGACTTTAAGGGTCTATCAAAAATATGCAATAACAGAGTCCTATGGAGATGATAGGTTGGTATTTGGACAGGTAGAAGTTGTGATTTAATGTGAAGCAGGTATCTACAGGTGTGAGATAGGTGACTACAGGTGTAAGGAGGGGTCAGGAGTCGAGTGAGCACCAGTTATCAAAGATAGGGAAGAGAGAGAAGAAGAACGGCAACTTTTAGGAGTCTACGACCCGTCCCAGATCATCCGTCATGCATCGCAAGTGATCTACTGAAAAAAAATTTAAAAGGTAAGTTGAAAACCAGTTTCTATTTTGGATTAGATGGAAATAATCAAAACTGTATCTACAGTATATACAGTTTGTTGTGGTGTGGTGTCATCTTCCTTTTCAGAGATATCCGAGACATAAAATCAGCATTTTTAAAGGACTAAAACATAATTTGGATTTCATCATACTGTAGAAACTAAAAAGCTACAGCTAAAAGATCCTGGTTACACCTAGAACATAATGCAAAATAATCACTTATATTCCGTGATTAATTATCTATATTATGCCTAATTACCAGATCATTACAATATCTCTGAAACACTTTGCGAAACCACAAAGTCATCCTCATCACATTCATGACCAATTATAAAGCCCTTGTTAGGTTCATTAAGCTTTTCAGTCGGGATTTGTGACCGATTCTAAACCAACTACATCATTAAGAAATAATTCTACATACGATAGATGAATAACCAGACAGAGAAGCCCAAAAATCAATACACAGATCATGTAATTATTCAACACCAACTTGGGGATAACATAATAGCTGAATTATGTTTTTAATGTCATATACTGACGCACTGCAGGAGTGACACACTGCAGAAGTGCAAGGACTTTATTGAGAGAAAGGGATGCCTGCCTTTTTTCCCTCATCTCCTATATAATATATATATATATATATATATATATATATATATATATATATATCATTAGAGGTGCACCTACCTCTTTCCTCATGTACGTATCAAATAAACAATATAACACCTTAATACACCACTGGGACAGTGCACCTACCTCTTTTCTCAACACACCACTGGGACAGTGCACCTACCTCTTTTCTCAACACACCACTGGGACAGTGCACCTACCTCTTTTCTCAACACACCACTGGGACAGTGCACCTACCTCTTTTCTCAACACACCACTGGGACAGTGCACCTACCTCTTTTCTCAACACACCACTGGGACAGTGCACCTACCTCTTTTCTCAACACACCACTGGGACAGTGCACCTACCTCTTTTCTCAACACACCACTGGGACAGTGCACCTACCTCTTTTCTCAACACACCACTGGGACAGTGCACCTACCTCTTTTCTCAACACACCACTGGGACAGTGCACCTACCTCTTTCCACAACACACCACTGGGACAGTGCACCTACCTCTTTCCTCAACACGCCACTGGGACAGTCCTTCATGAAATCTCTGTACCTAAAACAATGGGAAAATAGGAAAATATGATTTTAACAAATGCCCAAGATTTTCTGCATATGAAAACAGAGTGAAATGGTACAATTCATAGAGAAAATCTAGACAGCAAAGCTTGCAAATATACAGACACTTAACAGAAAAGAGGCCATCCCCATTACCTGATTTTCACATGAACAGGCACATTCCAATAAACAGCAACTTTTGCAATTTTAAGCAATCCAATCATGGTTATTTTCAAGGGGAACACAAATTAACCATTTCTACTAGTTTCTTATAAAGTCATAAGTCATTAATCAAATTAATCTTTCATTCAGCTAAAGAATACCTTTAAAACTGAACTTCCTTTAAATTTTGGTCATCAATTGTCTACTTCATCTGTTCCCCCCAGTTCATAAAGGTCAACTAAATGACGTACATGTTGTGCTGCATGTGCATTGCATTTTCAACGCTCTCACTCCCATATATATGGATCTAACTGCACGGCCAATTGTATAGTTGGTCAGGGACACAATGTAGTTATAGCACAGAAAGAAAACAGAAAAATATCTGTTCCACTATATCATGTTTTAGCAAATATGAAACTTTGCTCTTTGGTATTTCTCTAAGTTATACTATATATGGTGGCATTTGGTTGCGTTTTGTGGCAAAAATTTGACTTTCAGTGCATCTTTAACGTCCACAACCAATTCTCTCCTTTTCTCTATCATATATATTACAGAGCAGCCGGTCGAGTTGAACCTGACAAATGACATAATTAAATAATTCACAAAGTATGGATCTTTTCTATCTTCACATAATTCACATAATTCTGGTGAATGATGCGTCCTGTTCCAATAGCAAATTCAATTCAGATCAATTATTTTCCCATCTGATTAAGAATCTGGTACGTACTTCTATTTCATTCCAATCAATACATTTCTTAACACAATGATGAATGATTCACACCCGTTTCTAAGAGAAAAAAATTCCTCCTTTTTTCTGCCATTCAGAATAAACATGCTTGCATCTAAACTTGGAAAATCCCGCCATCCTGATTGCCTTTCTACAGCATTTTAATAATTTCACATTTCCCGAACTGGTAATCTTGATCAATATTCAATTATTCCAACTTCCCAGACAAAGTAATCATTTTGACACATGTAAGTATTCACCTAGCTTTCATTTGCGTAAAGTTAAGGTGTCTTGGATCTGAGAGTGCTTTTGAGTGCTAGTGCTTTTGTCAGCCAACTGCTTTCCATTTCTAATACACAGTTTAGGGAATTAACAACAGTCAGCTAAGCAGAAAGCATGAACTTTAGTTCACAATACGCCAACATAAGGCTCATGGGAAGGAGGGGAAGGGGGGGGGGTCTTTAGACATGAAAATATCTGAAGCCCATTTGACATACAGTGTCCACCTATTTACTGCCAGATTTTCAACTGAATCATAACTGTACCAAACATTGGCAAAGAAAAATCTTGAATAAGTTTCTCAATGTATTGGTAGTTTGCTCCATAACAATTATCAGTTACAAGTTATAAGACAAGACAGTAATGGCTGATGCAAGGTGGTTCAACTTATCACAGCAGTCAGTCAGGAAAACGGATGATACTCTGTAATCAAATCATTCATACTGATCCACTGCCTTATAAGATGCAGCAATTCTTACCATTTGATGGTTACAGCGTAAATATATTAAGCGGGGTCTTAACAAAATGTTCAGAAATTAAACATATTAAAAACATGTTGTTACGTATGGAGGAAATGACCTGAAGTATGGTTGGTCTGGCTGGGGGTAATCAGTAAGTAAGGTATATGTATGCTTTCAGATTCATGACAATATACAGTATCTGAAGTTTTGTGCACAAATTATTATTTTGCTACATAACCATCTAAATTGGTGAGACCCACTTTAAGCCGCAAACAGGTGTCCTAAGTTTCAAAGTACTGACAGTGCCTCTCCTCTACCCAGTAAATGTTCTCTGTCATCATTTAAGTGAGAAACTGACAAGATTTTCAGATTTTAGATGTGAAAATCCCACAGTTAAATTCAGGGTGTATACTGGCTTCATTTACAGAACAAGATCCTAGTACTTAATAAAATACCTTCAATAATCTACTTTGTCCAAAAATATCACGTTCATCTAATTTATTTCATCAAGTTAGCCTTTCTGTGCAAATGGGGTATTGATTTTGTAAAAAAAAAATGTTATTTAGCTAACAGAATTCACCTACAAATTCAATTTTGTCTTTTTTTCACAGTCATTTAAGTCAGAGTTCATGGTGATCTATAAAGTGACTGCCTCCTAGGGAAAAAGTCGATCTTTCACGATACTTAAGCTTGCATTTTTTTTACGGGTAAAAGCCCCACTTCTACAGTATTATCTTATTATCAACTTTTTCACCAGCTAAATAGTTACATTACTCAAGAAATTAATTTCATGTCAAAATGTGAGAATATGATTTATGAGAGAAAGATAACGTTGAGATTACAAATAGCATTAACTGTAATATCTTTTACACCCCATTTCCATAGATTTTTAGATCGATCTATCCCTGTGGGGAGTCTCACTAGATTACTGTCAGCTTGGCCGGCTTAAGTGTCTGTACCGCCTACTAAAAGCTGTAAAGGGGTAATTAACTATGGTGCCCGCTCGGCTGACAGCAATTTAGCGTGAACCCCCAGGGAATTAGGTCGATCTAAATCTTGATCTTTAGATTGATCTAAATCTCTGGGAAAGCACCCTTAATCACATGAATCTTCCACCATAATTACTTGAAACCTCTAACTTCACAATTAAATGCATCATTAAACTGCTTTCATAGAATTTTCTGCAAGCACAGAGCTCATTTTTAACTTGGCTCATGCTAAAAGCAAAGAAACAATAGTAAATGGCCATAACACATAGTCTAACATCAGATGTGCTTTTAGTAAAAGTTCTATAATACCATGAAAGCCGCTCCCCGCAGAGAACAAAGCCGCTGAAAAGATTACAAGTAAGTGTGACAGCATTTCCAGGAGGAATACAATTATCCTGCTATTTCTCACGTAATGTATCAATCACTGCTCAGTCTCTTCAAAAGGTAATTTGGACTTTTAAGGTGCACTTTAAGTCATTTTGCCATAAAAACCAACCAAATGCCAACATATAGTTTCCAATATCATAAAGAAATACCAAAGAATCTTTTTTCATATTAATTTACCCAAAAAATGTTCTGCCTACTTTCTTTGCTGCAGATAACCATGCTAAATAAACTAAAATTTGAAGAAGGTTCAGTTTTTATTCTCTTTCGTGACCGATTAATTTGATTTATCCCTGATAGGTCAACTTTCCCAATGAGTCGTTTAAGACACTAGTAAAAGTGGTTTATATGTGTTATTGGAGTCCACACCGTTTCAAATGTATCGTTAAACAGTTAAAGCCCAGTGCCTGACTTTTTTGTAGAGATTACAACCAGTCTATTACAAATTTGATGACCATTCCTGACAATGCCAGTGATTATTTATAGTGTCATCACTCATGTACTAGTAGCTACCTTAAATTTACACATTTACTGAGGGCCAATTGCTTCTATTATTCCTTCAGAGCAATATCAAAAAGTCAACTTTACACAGCTGACTAAATCATTTTAGCAGGCTAAACTAACCTAAAAAATAGAAACTTTGCTAAAGTTATTAGATGACATGCTGTCTAAATTCCCCCTGACACCCCCCCCCCTCCCGTCAATCTATCTTAAGAATTCTGCACCCCATAAACATACAACACCATGTACAAGTCAATCAAGTCTCACAAGCATATCACATCCATTATGCAAGGCAATTAGCCAAAACAATTTCTGACAAATCAACTTTCCTGCAAAATGAATAACCAATTATCAGAGGATAGAATAATTGTATACAAACTGCTTCTTTAAGCATGTTTCAAGTCTTCTTCAACAACCCAAGAGACCATCAGGTCCTGTTCTCCTAGTATTCATTAATTAAAGTTAACCCACCCTGTGTATTGTTAACTGTATATTACCCTTGCCAAGGGCCATTAATGGTTTAATGAAATATCTAGCCATGAAATCTTTTGCATGCAAGACGAAAGCAGATTGTCTCCCATAGGCTTCTCTGCCACTTAGACAGCCTGACTTATATCATGTGAAACATCTTGATTAGCATGAGAGAGAGACGGGAATTCTGTGGTAGTTTTCCCAGAAAGCATCAAGTATTTATGGCGGAGAAATAGGCCTATCAATCTGTGAAGTGAACTTCATTTTCCTCAAACAGAAACGGATAACTTGGTCGCTGGGGTGAAATTTGGCAAAATAATTGGAGGTCTAGGGTTCAGATTTTATTTGCATCTCCTTGTGTGCCTGTCTGTCTGATTGCTTGTCTGTTTCTTATTTTAACTCCCACATGGACCTGTCTGTCTGTCCGTCTGTCAGCAGGTCTGTCTGTTTGTCTGTCTGTCTGTCAGCAGGTCTGTCAGCAGGTCTGTCTGTTTGTCTGTCTGTCTGTCAGCAGGTCTGTCTGCTTATCTGTCAGCAGGTCTGTCAGCAGGTCTGTCTGTCTCTCTCTTTATCTGTCAGCAGGTCTGTCTGTCTCTCTCTCTCTTTATCTGTCAGCAGGTCTGTCTGTCTCTCTCTTTATCTGTCAGCAGGTCTGTCTGTCTGTCTGTCTGTCAGCAGGTCTGTCAGCAGGTCTGTCTGTCTCTCTCTTTATCTGTCAGCAGGTCTGTCTGTTTGTCTGTCAGCAGGTCTGTCTGTCTGTCAGCAGGTCTGTCAGCAGGTCTGTCTGTTTGTCTGTCAGCAGGTCTGTCTGTCTGTCTGTCTCTTTATCTGTCAGCAGGTCTATGTGTTTATCTGTCTGTCCATCCTTCCATCTGTCTGAAAGCAATACCTACCCATGTCTGTGTGTTAGGAGCACCAGATAAGCCAGAGTACAAAGTAGAGGAATGAATCTTGTTTATTAACCCCAAGGGAGTGATCCAGCATGCTAAATCACAATACAAAGTTCATTTCTATCACAGAATTGAAGCATAAAGAAGACAAAAAATGCCCAGGAGAGTTTTGATACTCAGGGCAATGGTCATATTATCTAATACAATGAGCACCTGACATTGCCCCCCCCCCCCTCCAGTCCCCACAAAAAAGCACACTGCTGAGAAATGTAAGTGATAATATATGTAATACACTAGAGCCTCATTAGCCACAACTAGAACAAAAGCAGTTTCATGAAATATTACTCAACTTACCACTGCCTAATTTCCTTTTTGTCAACTGAAATGAAAAAACAAAGGTCATCAATAACCATTCAGTTCTAAAATATGTATTGTTTGAAGAGAACACTACACACTACTGGTTAGGCTAAAATAAGGGATGATTTTCATTCCAAGGATTGGCAATTTGCCATCATGCCAATATCACATGAAAAAACAAGTAAGAAAAGAGCAGAAATAAATTAGAATATCAAGCACACCACCATGATAAAAACCAAGTAGCTTCCCAAATTTTTGTACTGGTCAGTCATTTTGAACACCATGGCTTCATGGACATTTTTAGAATGAACTATAGATGGCCTGCACTTTTATTTGAGGGTTTTACCTTAAGTGTCTGAACTCTGAAGTACAGAAAACTTAGTAGCTTCTCAGGATATGGAAACATATAATATTACTTTAATTTTCGCATGCATACCTTTTATCTTCACATCAAATTGTTTAAGTCTGACTTAACTTTTATTTTTGATGGCAATGATGACTGGCGGTGGATGGAGGGGGGGGGGATAATAAAAAATCTGCTGGTTTCATCTTAAAGCAAATTTTTATTTGTTTGTATATATTTATTTCCTTAAGTTTGATTATAACCCCACAAGTCATGTTGTATTACCACAGCAACAAAAATGTATTTCCTTTCAATAAACTATTAATATCAAAGTATGAAATGAAGACAGAAAAATGTTATAATGATAATAATAATCTGAAAGAAGATGACTTCCCCAAGAGGCATCAGATCTCATTAATCATTCTCATATTTATTCCCTAGAAATTCACCTGTGAGGAATCATTCCATTCAGAAGGGAGATATCGTTATGTGGTATACAGTAGACGAGAAGATTATTATCGAGTTACGCTATGTAACTCGGCCACCCTCAAAGTGAATGAAACTAAGAAATAATCAATAATCATCTGGATCATAATACCTCCACTAATATGATTATGATAGATACAGACACTTCATTTGACCCTATTATTTTCCTCCTTGGCTGTTTTTATGCAACAACATCTCTTGAGATTCAGTTCTTATATATTCGTGTCCACAATTGGGAAATTAGGATCAGTAGGTTTCATCTTCAATACTTGAATCAAATACATCCGTAACTCTTACCACAGTAGCATGTAAATTATTCTCTCAATGACTAGGATAAAACCTTTCAGCTAAATGAAATTAAATGTATTCAAACATTCATACATGTTCAATCATCCACAAGAACTCTTCTGAATCTATAAATTTCTAGTAGATTTATTTGAACAACATGGAATATGTGGTGGAATAAGAGAAGTATAAGTGAGCAGCCATTCTGCAGCTGATGCTATTCACCTTAATTATACTCCATGCTGTTTGAGAGTAAACATATAGAGGACAGAAATCCATATACATGGGAATGCACCAGTTGGAGAGGATTCGGTTTTTAAAAAAGTTTTTTTTTCTCATTCATTTCTACTGTATCCTATCTTAATCTGTGAGTTAGCTTTAGGGGGTCTTTCCAGGGGTGGATCCAGAGCTATTTTCTGACAGTCTTCCAAATTATCTTTGTTGATCAATCCTCCAATTTTGACCGTCTTCCAACAGAAAAAATTACATACCTATCTACGTAAACTTGAAAATCTGTCCGTCTTCTGGAAGACCCAGAAGACGGCCTAAATCCACCCCTGCTTTCAGCTTATAGATGTAAATAAAGGTAGATTGTGGTGATACTACTAGATACATGTATTGGTAATTCTTTTTTTTTTTTTTGAGGGAGACAGAGAGGGGGGGGGTTGGCAGAAGAAGATAGTCTTTGCACAATGATAACTGAAAGCTGCATGTCTTCAAACTCAATGACCTGTTGATCAGCTCTGACTCTTAACAAAACAAACAGAAACTCATGTCTTTCTGTACTATCAGTGCCTCAGTCAACAGAGAACCCCTGGCTAACTTAAATGACATATTTACAATAGACTGAGGAAATCAATGCCTGTACATCAACTGTGTACAGTGCATTCACTGTTTTGTCCTAGAAATAGATGGTGATACAATTTGCAACAGTAATTTTAATTCGTTTATGTCGCGGTTTAATATCTATGGGTCGTTTTGTGCGATTCCTAGATTTAGTCTTTTTTTTTTCAATATTAATTACTTTTAAAATACTTTTGCCTTAGTAATAATCTCGTAATCAATAATAGTATATGAATGTCATATAGTGATAATACGCATTCAATTTTTAACTCAACCTAACGATGGCTCTTTGACTGGTAAGGCATGAACTAATCACTTTCTTCACTATCATCTTTCAACTTCAACCCGAGATCTGACGAAGTATATCTACTTACAATATGTACACGACATCAGATCCTTCACTTCATTGGATCCAAGCTGTTTGCTTGCCTGTTTCCCCATATTCCCGTAGCCTCAATTGTTCATATGTTCTAACTACAACAGAAAAACATTCAGAATTTTGGGACGACTAATCCGACCCCGTCCTTTCATGTTTGGCGGCCATTTTCGACTCTTTGCTCAGTCACATGATCAGGATGACGTCATTCGGGATTTCCCTTCTTCAACAGGTGAGATGCCCCCCCTGCGACTTTGCATTTGCGTCCTTATCTCTGAACTTAATATCAGCACTATTTCTGTCTCTCGAAATGTTTGCTTTGTAAGTCCGTCTATTTCTCTGGAAAATATTTGTACTGGCGACACATTTCTCAGAGTTAAAACTGTGGACAGTCCAAGAAAATGCAGTGCCCAAGGCCTAGATCAATAGACATTCAGCGTTCTTCAAGGCCGGCATGAGATTATATACGTCATTTGGTATAAATAACGGGGAAGCAGGTTCAATCATCGACCATGCAGAGCAATAGTCAATACAACTCCAAATCAATCTGAATCGGACTCGATCCTCAAGACAAAACGCTGGTGATAGGCGGTCAGTGATTTTACGATGCCCCGTAGCAGGACCTATACTCTGAGTTCACCAAGCAACCTGTCCCGTCCGTTCTTCACTAGTTTGTCGTGATCGGTCTCTCCACACCCAACTCCACCACGTTAGATCAGTTAAACTAGACTAAAGCACCCTGCAGTGTGTATTCTGGAAAAAGTAACGTTAGCAGTATATTGTGTGAGCTATTCTGCTTATACACGAGAAGACGCTTGTCGTGCGCTTAGAGACTGATCGATAATATTGATTTGGTCTAAAAAGGCTGCAGAGAGACATGCATTAGTGCGATGGGACATTGTTAAGCCAACGGAGAGCGCGTTTTGCGCCGCAAAGTGTTAATACGTTCTTACTTTGTGTCATGCGTCGATATTTTACATAATATGATTTCTGTTTGATTTTTAGTCTGCTTCTCTTTATAGAAGTATTGTTTTCCCTAATTACACCTCACCTGCAGAAATAAATATTGTGTAAAGCCTTCTACAGTTTCCTTTTCCGAACCCCACAGGTGCGCGTCCCTTTGTATCAGCCTTTACCAACTGCAGGGCTATTACATTCTGCTTAATAGTTTTTCAGAAATATCCCTGGAATTGTCTGGTAGATAAACGCCTAACAGCGACTATCTTGTCTGGTCTCGGCTTAACCGTTGTTAGCTGATTTCGTGAGAACACATAAACATTTAATTTCAGATCCATTAAAAAGCCCATTACAAGTCCCAGAGGAATTCTTTCCGTGGTGAACAATTTGCTGTTCTTCTGTTCTTCGGGTAACTGGGGAGTTATATTAAAGGGATAACAACAGTTCGGTTTGGAAAAAAAATTCCTTGGGTAAGCGACGACTTTCCATACTTACTAATGATTAATGAATGCATTCCCGTATTTAAAGGTATTCCAAGGTTTTTTCCCCTAAAAAGTGTTTTTAAACAATCTCTTAAGAGATTATTATGGAGGTATAGTCATCTAAGAAACTCCACTTGGTCTGATGGCAAGCACAGATTCTAGAATAATTGTGATAACCGCTAATTTGTGGTAAAATGGAATTTATTATATATTTGCTAGTTGTTTACTTTGTATTTATTGTGAAATACGGATCTCCTACTAACAAACGTGCATCATATTTTGCAGCAGCCATCCGATACTTTTCTAGGGATTTTCTTTCTTTGATTGTGCAGTGAATTAGGAAGGAAAAGGTGTTCCAGAAAATGTGGTTTGAGACTGGTTAATACCTTAAAGTTTAAAGGATTAGTCTTACGCAACCCTGGAACTCTCTCTCTCTCTCTCTTCTTCTTCTTCTTCTTCTTCTTCTTCTTCCCCTTCTTCTTCTTCCCCCCACCCTCTCTCTCCTTTTTTTTCTTCCTTTTTTCTTCCTTTTTTTGTTTTTGATGAATAAATGCACTTCAGAATGTATAGACACACAATAGACCCAGATAGAAAAGAAATGGCAAATATAATAGAAATGCATCATCTAAATCAGATCGTGTCATATTTCAACACTTTGTAGTCAACTAGAAGCCCCCATTCACCAGCCTGTTTTCAGCAATCTAGAGCGTCCGTTAATAAATCCGTTCATAATTGATTTTCCAGTGTGTCTGTGTCTTGGGGTGCTTTCCCAGAGATTTAGATCGATCTAAAGATTAAGTTTTAGATCGACCCAACTCCCTGGGGGTTCACGCTAAATTGCAGTCAGCCGAGCGGGCACCATAGTTAATTACCCCCTTACAGCTTTTAGTAGGCGGGACAGACGCTTAAGCCGGCCAAGCTGACAGTAATCTAGTGAGACTCCCCACAGGGATAGAACGATCTAAAAATCTATGGAAATGGGGTGTTGGTTTCCAATGTAATGGGACGCCTACAATGTTCTTACCATGTCCTTTGCCATGGACAACAGAAGCAATCAAAATTAATAACACAACGCTTATTACTTTCACAGCGATCTTCTTAAGAGCGATTCTGTCATGTCACGTTATTTGCGACGGATAAGAAGACCCGTTGGCACAAAAACACCGCATCTATTTAGTGAATTGAGCTTTGTAGCGTAAACCAAATGGCTCTTGTGTTAAAACTACATGTGGGACATACGATTTTCGTATGTAGGCCTATTGTACGTCACGATTATGAGCAATTAATCTCTACGGTTTTGTCTCTGCACTCATTTATTCGTTTGCCATGTTTTTTTTTTTTTTTTTTTTAATTTTTTTTATTTATTTTTTTTATGGTAATTATTTATTTATTTATTCATTATTTTTGTTACCTAAGGGTTTCCAAGAAAGCTTATTGATTAAATCTATAGTCACACATTTAGGATTTTTTGTTAATGTTGCCGGAAAAGAACCACCCAATAAACGTAGAGCATGAGTGGTAGTATATGTTTATTTTGGAGAAGATCGAAGATGCAATCTATTAATTCTGCGAGCAGCGCATTTTCTTCTCCGTTTTTTACAAATATGCTTCAAATATGGCTTAACGTATATACAACAGACACAAGCTCCAGTGGGACATCTAAGCCTGCTCCCCTTGCCCTTGTTTCCGCCGCATCTTTCACAGCATTTCGCTGTTTTAGCTTTTGATCTTACAATTCTTGGGTGATACCACACGAGAAACTGCAGACAAAAGTGTATCCTGGTACCCATGAGGCAATGGCTTGGCACGTAGAAACCCCTCGCGAGCATTTAACAAATGCAGTAAGCACAGTTCACTGGGCAATTCCGGGGTTGAATAGACGCAGGAACCTCTCTAGCAGCGGTGCTGGTACTGACAGGAAGACGAACAAGTGGGTTAACAGGCAGGGCAAATTATAATTGATTATTCAACTAAACGTTGCCATAGTCATTCATTTTCAACATAATACCTTGATTTCGCTCCCCAAGGAACACTAGCCTGTTAAAATCAATATCACGTCGGCGTTAAAATGTCGAAGAAATGCAAAAAATACCAGTGTCATTGGCAGTCGCTTCTTTTGCGTGCTGCGGTTTCAATGATAACGGAACTCGATGCCCTAGATTCAAGACGCGGCATATTTATTTATTTATTTTTTTTTTCTTGGGGAGGGGGGTTAAAACTTCACTTGGCATCACATTTCAAATAAAATTGAGGGAGAATTGACAGTGAGGTGCCGTTTAGAAGTCAAATCATTTCCCGAGGGAAATAAGCCCCATCATGCGTGGCCATGGTCGACGGAGTAGAACCATTTAGACTGAGCAAATATCGTGAATTGCTGACTAACCCACGTTTGTTTGCATATTTAAGTACGTTCAAAGGGACAGACCAAGTAAGCCAACGTCACTTCTGCATGCAAATATCTTGTTCTCATCATGTATTTTTACATCTGAGATAGAAAACTGATAATCAATACGACAAAAACGATGTCCATAAATCCCTTCTGATACCACTGAACCAACCATAATAAATCGAAATTGTTCATGCAAAAGAGGAAATTTGAAGACCCGGCTTGTTTGACATCATGCTCAGAACATCTGACATTTGCTGCTGAGGGGAATGTCCATGTTTCTGAAAAGATTATTAAAGGATGGACCGGCAATCTAGCCTCCTTTGTTTAGGCGACTACCTGTATCTAGTCATCTAGACAAATAGCACCTTTTTACTAAAGCTGCTCTCAGTTTTAAGACCAGACATTTTAAACCATTGGCCTAGAAGATAAACATGTATTTCACTATTTCTTAAATTATTTATTTATTTATTTATTTATTTATCTTTTTGCTAGTGAGCCTCAATATTCTCAACAGCTGTGATTTATTGTGGGTAAGAAATCATGTGCAGTTTTCGCCAAAACACCTTTGTGACGAGGATGTTTTGTGCGATTGTTGAGAAGATAACAGTGCGACTGTCTTATCAGTCACAATAGTGTGCTCAGAAAATCCGTAGTGGAGGAAAACTGACAGTTTTTTAAATGTGTTGTGGCATAAGAATACTCAATCAATGTATTTACGCGACCCCCCCCCCCCCCGGGGGTCCAGTGCACTGACAGAGGGCCAATCTGGGGGTCTTCCGGAAGGCGTTTAAACTTATATGGACAGGCATTTTTAAAGGGGAACGATATGTTTATAATTGACATAAAATATGAAAACAATCTTGTGATTATCACAAAAAAAAACATAAAAAAATGATTGCATGTGTAAAACAATCTTGCCCCTCTCTCTGCTAATGTCTCACAACACAAGCCCCTGATAATGTTCAACAGACGAAACCAACTCAATACTTCTCACCTTGGGCTTAACAAAAGACACAGCTATCAATGTCACCTTTAAAAACACTATGGTTGCATTCATAAAAGGTTATCCGTGTTAGAGCAAAATAAAAGGAAAAAACAATAAGGTAACAAGTCTAGAACCATCACTTATATCATTTTCAACAGTTGACATCAACTTTTCTGTCCTTTTGTCCTTTGAGGCAAAAATAACTTTGATCGTGTTCTGTTATCGATTATTGAAATCTGGAAGCACAAATGATCCACTGAAGCTCAAGAAATGTTATTATTCGCGCCTACAAATATTCGAGGCACTAAATACTAGTGGCTTTGGTAAGAACATCCCCACTATGGTTTTCCGCTTCTCCATGAACTTGTACAACAATGAAGGCCACCGAAAAACATTAAGGTTTACGAAAACATCACAAATCACTGGTCATCATGTCGTTTGAATACACTTCTTTTGTAATTTGAACAAAAGTTCACTTTTTGCACTTTCAGACACGAAGAGTACAATGTAGAACTAAAACTAATTTAAAAGACTTTGAGACCATTCCCAGAGACTATCGTACTAACTTTGGATCGAACTATCTCCAAGGGGATTCTCGCTTAATTGCAATTAACTTGGGCGGCATAGATGTCTGTCGCGTCTACTGATGCTGATAGGGGGTAATTAACTATCGTTTAGCAGCTTCTGTAGATATAATAAATGTCTAATACGTCAGGAAGCAGTTCAAACTCTGTAACAAGATTAAAGGCTTTCCTTAAAACAGTTAATTTTACTTTTATTAAAATATAAACAACACAAACATGGCAATTATATACATGTACATCACAAACATAAATAGATTGGTGTACGTTATCGAGTAGGTGTTTTGAGCAGTTTGTGAAAAATAAATGTCACATTTTATCTTTGGACACCTACTACAATATCAAAATGCATTGTTGATGTATCGTATTCTCGATATTCATGAGATGCCGGCTGCGTGATGACGTCATTTCTCGGAAAAAGTTTCCGTGTGGAGATATATCTGTGAATATCTTGTGATCGCGTTCTCTGTCTGAACCTTGTTAAGTGTAAGACATCAACTTTCTTGGTTCACAAAACATGAGTTACCTTAAAGAATCTGTCCCTGTGTCTACGATACAAAAATCTACCATAATGCTGAAATGCATTGCTATGCACAATGTTCAATTCGTAATTGAAACTAGCATACATATAATACATTAGAAATCAATGTTCTTAATCGACCCTGTCACATGTAGAATTAATTCTTTCATTGAGCAATGCTTCGTTATTTAAGTTACCTTAATTGCGCTTTATGCTTTTCAGTCATTTGCACATATGCATATCATAAATATAAGAAAATATTCTATCATACAAAATAGTATCATATCTAATAAAAACAGAAGTAATTTTTGTGAGTTTTCAAGCAGAAACATTGATAACAAAAATTGCTTGAATAATTGGTAAGTGATTTACTCTCACGTGGCATACAATACGCAGAGTGAATGCTCTGTCTATAATTTCGAAATGATACAAAGTTTTATGTTACACGTCTCTAATCTCATTTTCACCAATTCCTGGAATTCGATTTCAATGAACAATTCCCACAGAAACTTGTGTTCTGGGAGATCATTGCAATTTCTGTCACCATCTCATAATGAAGTTCGACTGTTGCATCATTTATTGAATGTTGTGATGTAATTCAGGCTTTCCGCAATTACCAATGCTTGGCTGGTATCAAGTGCGCACGAAGATTCCTTTAGTTGCCTTTGTTTCTATAATAAAGAACTGACAAAACCATGTCCCCTTTTCTGGGGCATACGGGTAGCTGCCCAAAGGTAAATACATTGTATATACTTGTATGCCTTGAATATAATAAGATAACCAGAAACATCATTCTGCAATATCCCNTATATACCGGTATTTTTGTATGACAGTATGCGAGATAGTTGATGTATAACAAAACCAGCGTGTGTATGTGAGTGATTGTGTGAGTGATTGTGTGTGTGTGTGTGTGTGTGTGTGTGTGTGTGTGTGATTGTGCCAGAGCCAGCTGGACGTTGACGCCATGTTTATTTATTTATTTATTTATTTATATTTCAACAACCCCCACAGTACAGGAATATTGGAATCTAGTGAAAAGCTAGAGAAATATATATGGATATCTAGTGTGAAATAAGTCACTTAATGGCCGTGGTAGAGAGTGCAGCATAATTACTGATCTGTGAATTGTACCAAGAATATATTCATGTTTGTACCCGTAGTCTCTTCCAGTGGGATTATCATAGGGTTCATCGTCACGCCTATTAATATTCACGTGTTTCGTAACTTAATTTAAGCATGACCGCTTCTCTTAAGGGATTAATTGGTTTACCCTATCAATTATGTGCCTTGTAGACACAATCAGATCATCAATTTGTTAAGTGACCACATTTTCCTGACATTATTGTGTAACGGTTGCGTGACGTAAAGTATCGCCTGTTTTAAGTTTATCTAGTTGACAGTTGGCACGTGTGTAGGATTGTGTGGTCTATTTTATGTCCTTGCTGGGATCCCCTTAGAGAGACGTGAATTGTGTACATCTACACTTCTTTATTCGCGACTTTACACCTGAACTGGAGAAAATGTTCAGAAATAAATAGTAATTATTGTGACAATGCATTCTAGACTTGCAGTTACACAACTTTCTAATGTGTTTTCTTGTATTATAAAGACTGGCGTGTGCAAAAAATTCTCTTTATGCCCGCTTTAGTAGGACCCCTCCACAAGGTGCATGCTTTTTTATTTGCCTGAAATTAAATTCTACACTATATATATTGGCCGGTGTCCATGTTCCCCTCACCCCTCCTCACCCCCCCTCCTCACCCACCTCACCCCCTCCTCACCCCCTCCTCACCCCCCCTCCTCACCCCACCCCTTCCTCACCCCCTTCCCCGAACAGCATTATCACAAGATTAAGAGTGCACCCCATAAGCTGCTTGCAAAATTAGAAATGTATTAATCCTATGGGCGATTTATTGATAAATTTGTCTTTTTTTCCTTTTTTCTTTCTTTCTTTTTTTTTTCTGAGGGGACATGTCATATGACGTTTATTCACGTGTTCAAATCGTCATCTGTGACGTCACACCCAACGCTCTAGAGTCTGTGCGTGGTTACACATCCAGCAAACGTCGAAGTTTGAGTATTGAACTTTAATTACTGAAGTCTACTGAAGGGTTTGATGTGGCGCAGGTGTGATGCAGCATTTGACGCGTTCAAAGTCGACATTGATCCGGCCATAATTAATCATAATACCGCCTAATCACGCCTGAAGCTGTTATCAAAGAGAAATCGAACTCTTACGGCTCGGTAGATTTCTCATATTATACAAGGATGTTGCAACCAAACTTAAATCAAAATAACTTCTTGCGTATCATTTAATACTTGTGCCTTCAAGGACGACTTAATATTTATTCCTGCAACAGTTAAGTTTGTCTTCAAGAGGTAGGAATTGGCGCTTGATAATTTTGATTGAGATGCATGCCCCTACGTCTTCTGTAAGAAGCTAGGTTATGTAACGTGTGTTTTGTGTTTTTCTTTCGTCTTCTTTTGATATTTGAATATTTGTTGTTCCACTGCTTATATTTTGCAGATGTGTAATTCCAGAAATTCCAGATTAAATTGCAGATATGATAATGTTTGTTAAATTTCAATATGCAAATCAATTAATAAATTGTTTGAAAAACGTAATATCAAGACGGTAATGGGTGGATACTCTTTGAGTCAGTTTCATATGTATACAGGTATAACAGATAATTTTTTGTGTTAAGGTGATTTAAACATTGAAAACAGACAGATCATCTTTGTATTTTAGTATGTACTTGAGTGAACTCTAGCAACCTTTTTTTATTGAACAGTGTTCGTGAAATGGTGGACAACAACCGCCGCCACTAAGGATGTTTGTCTCTTCTGATATCTCAGACGCCGTTGGGAAGGTATATTAAACCAGGAATCACGGCAAGTAGACGGCAACGATCAAAATTTGGATTTGCAAACATTCTGCGCAGAAAGAATAGCCTAGAAACTGTAAAAGACTCCCCGACTGCATCAGAGCAATACTTTTTTGTGAAATATGTCTGAATTCATCGAAACTCTTACGAAACGCTTCGAGAAATCGAACGTCATATTTGAGACGCAGGCTTCTGACTCTGATAATAACAACCAGGCTGAGCAACCCGAGGAGAAATGTCACTCTCGGACTTCAACTGCGATGGACCTGAAAACCACAAATCTGTGCCTGCCAATAGAAAACTCTAGAATATTTGCTCAAAGAAGTGAACCCACAAGTCCTGTGTTAGTCCCACCAAATTCAGCCGTGTCTGGTTCTCTTAATGCCAGACAGGCGATCCGCCTAACCACCTCAAACAGCTACCCGTGGCTAGAGCTCAGGTCGCCTCGAACGCCCGAACCAACAGTGTGCAACACACCTTCAAGGCTTCTCTCTCGGGGGACAAATTCGGTGGAGAGACTCATGCGTCCGACCACGTCAAGCCGCGCACGCTCCAGTGTCGCTCTAAAGCGCGTGAAGAACCAATCTACACAGACGGGTCCTTCTCCTTACAGCGACGTGGAACCGTATCTCGCTGTATAGCCACGTCATGGTGATTATATTGTTTGATTGAAATTACTATTATTGTGCTTTTATATAAATTGCTCACATTTTCCCAGCTGTTAACCGACTCAAATACAATTTAATGTTAGGGAATTTCCTGGGATATAGAAGTCTATATCGATTCAGGGGATGAAAAATGTATGTCAATTATGGACGAAAAATCGAAATACTAGCTGAAACCCAAGCGTATATGGGCTGTTATGTTTACTGATTACTTGTTCACTTTATGAGCCATAACTGCTGTTGAATAATGCTGAAAACTGACTTCAAGTTTGCTTTAAATTTATTTTTGTATAAAGATCGGCGTATCTACATAAAATGATTTTAACAAGATTCCTTATGTAAAAAGTAGTCGTTATAAAAGATATAAAAATATGTTAGTATAACTTTTGTAGGCTCTTGAAAAAGCAGCACAACAGTTTCAATCTAACCACAGTAACGTATTAATTTCATGAACACATTTAGCTTCAGAAGCTAGAAAATTGGCTTCTTTTTACACAGTGATCAAACAGTTTTAAAAAACATAAAGAATCTTAAATATTTTCAAAAACACTTAAAGCATTAAGTAAAACTCTTCTTACACGTAGAACACCTTGTAGTGAATTGGCACCATAGACTCTATCTACATTTGTAAATTAGAATTTTGTGAATAAAGTTATACACTCTGCCTTCATTGCGTATAAATACATATAGTGTCGTGACCAGATATGCTTTGGTTTAAATGATTTCACTTGAAATTGCGTTTTTCCCAGTGACCAAGTAAAATATCCGTGAGTGCGAGTTGTAAATGGGCATTAAACATATACCTATTTGTTTGGACACCTTATGCAAAATACATTTTGGACAAATTAAATACAAATTACAAAAATTTGGAGTATTTGAGATCGTTACTGTGTCCTGTAATAGATATAAAAATAAATAAAATAATCTTTTCTCTTTATATACCAAATGCTTTGGTCGTCCTTCACAAATAATTTTCGAACTAGTTAACCCTTACATATTTCAAATCCTTCTGTAATTAAAGTGTGAGTAAGGCACACAAAAGTTCACGAACATACACGATTACCTGTCGACCGCGCACTTGTTCAGGTAGAAAAATGTAAACATAAAATTATACTTCCTTTAACCTTATCTCTCATCGTTTAATAAAGGAAAATAAGCTTTTTTGCGAACTGCTTCAGCCTTTCTGTCATGAATTCTTACTTCATTGCCTTCTTCTACTGTGACTTTCTTCAAAAAAAAAAAAAAAAACACACGGAAATGATGAAGATCTTTTTTTATCAATCAGTGGTAGAAGTCTTTTCGAAAAGGCAGGGAAAGTCATGAGTTATGCTAGTAGACTATGGCAGGAATGTTCCTGTCAGTATTTCTTATAATTGCAGGCCCGTAGCCAGGGGGAGTCCGGGGGTTCAAAAGAACCCCCCTTTTTTCTGGGGGAAAAGATCTCGGGGTCGGGGTAAAATTTCATCTAGGTACACGAAGGTTTCATAGTTAAGGTCCACTTTTTCAGAAAAAGAACCGCCCTTTTGAAATTGCTGGCTACGGGCCTGAATTGCCAAAGAAACCAGTGAGTTAAGCAAAGGTGTAGGACCGTACGACGGCCTCTAAATCCTTCTTTGAGGGCCCTGTTCTACTCTTCTTCTCGGAGTCCGGGCGGCGTTCCAGGGTGTCTGTCGTCATCTCCCACCAAGTTTTCCCACACCGGAATTTTTCTCCTGGGAAAGAAAAAAAAATGGTCCATTTATTTAAACAGCTTCTAGCGTTTTATTACACCCGTTTATTTAGGTTTAAATTTCGACAGAAATTCTTCTGAAATTCTTCTGAAATTCTTATTCTAGAGAAACTTATTCTCTTTTGTAAAATTTACATGAAAACACCCATTTTATAACCAATGTCCAACATCGAATCTTTTCTTTCAAAAAAAAAAAAAAAAAAAAAAAAAAAAAGCAACAACGTCAAGGACTTGTATGTAAATGTATACATGCACAAAGGGTAACGCGAACCCCACCAAAATTTACTGCACAAACAAGATCAGCACGCACGTTGGTTTTGGAATTTGAATTATCATCGATTGTACGTGACCTGTTTGAAATTCTATTCGTCCAGAGATGAGAGTTACCCGAACAATGAATCAGTATAAGAACATATTCGACATGTGATCATATTCGACCTAATAGATAGATAGATAGGGACCATCCCCAGACCTTATCATACTTACTGTGGATCGATCTATCTCCGATGGGGATTTTCGCTAAATTGCAATCAATTTAAGCGGCTTAGAGGTTTGTCACGTCTACTGAAGCTGCTAGGGGGTAATTAATTATCGTTTAGCAGCTTCAGTAGGCGTGCCAGACATCTAAGCCGCTTAAGCTGAAAGCAATTTAGCGAGAAACCTCTCGGAGGTGGATCGATCCTATTAGATCGACCTAAGTATGGGAACCCAGTCATAAATACATATGAATTTGTAAACAAATAAAGAAAGATAACTAACCACTGTCATAATCGCAAATAAAGTCATTACCTGGCACGTGTCCCGCGTAACGAGGTATCATCCCTGTTCTCGTGGGGTAGATGACAGCCGGAGTAGTGCGTGGACTTTGCGGCCACGAGCCCGCCACCTCGCGGTCTGGCTTCACGGGCGCTCGCCTGACGCTGTTCCAGTGCGTCATGTAGTCCGTGAAGTCGTTAAGAGCCTGGTGACTGAGGAAGGAGAAACATTTGCCCACCTTGTTTTGTGAGTGAGGGACATGGCCCATGTAACCTGAAAGGTAAGCAGATGGAGTAGTGAAAGGATCTGGTAGAGATTGATCGGTTTTCTCAAATATAAAACTGCTCGTTTGTTTTAAATTACTAACATGCTCACTACAAGAGTGGTGGTCAAAACAGTGAGAGAATTGGCATGAGTTAACTTCTTCACAAACGTAAGTAAAAAGACTACTCGTTACAAAATACAAAGTTATACAAATGTAGTTACTCGATCACACGAAGAGCACAGGGGGTTATTTAAAAAAAACTACGGACTGTTTGGGTGTTTGACTTACCGGACATAAAATATTTCCTCGGACTCGAGTTGTCCATCTGGTAGGGGGACTTGTTGTATTGTTCGGCGGCCTCCATAGACCTAGGAGAGACGTAGGGGTCAGCTTCCGCCTGTACCGGCTCTAGAGGAAGTCTAAGGTTAAGACGAACGTCCTGGAGGTAGAATAGAAATCATAGATAAATATTGTAATTAGTTATGTATCATTTCATTTATTACAGTTATATAATAATAATCATGATGATAATAATGATAATAATAATAATTTACTGCGCTGTTGTTTTACAATGACTGTAACTAAACATTGTAAAACGACGATTTTTAAAGGAATATTCACATATTTTGTATCACATTTATCAATAACTAGAACTATGCATTTTAATAGGTAAAATCATGTGACAAGATGGTATGGTGTCTGGTAGAGCATGCCAGACTGTTAAATTGGTACATAGTGTGTCAGATATTTCGTTATTCCAATGACGCAAGATTTTTCCAAAATTTGTTTTTATGTCAACTTGCATTTTAGTGTAATTTTTCGTGGCAAGACCACACTACAGAATACAGAAGTTTATTGACAATCGCCCTACATCCGGGCATGATCAAATACAAATACACGAAGTAATCCGCAGAGTAATTACCGTAAACAGTTAGATATACATTACCGTTCCTTAGACATGATAGCTGTTACATAATATGAAAGAACTTGTAAAAACTTAAACTGAAAGTTATTCTATCCTTAACCCACCGGCAGTTTAAGACCGTTGTTTGATGGAATCTCGTTGGACAACGTATGGTCAGATTCACCACGGGGTAAATACTGCATTTTGGCACCGTCGATGGCAAGTAGATATGATCCTCTTTTTTTACTCTTCTCTCTCCTTTGTTCCCGCTCGAAATCGGAGATGGCGTCGTTGGCCGTTTCTGGGAAACTCTTCCCCCAATTGTAAAGGTGATGTCTTGGAATATGACCTGTTGAACAAGAAAATAAGGATGTCTGGTGTGCATTCTTTATCTTTAGAAATGTCTGTAAAGGTATAGATTACAACATGACATGTACGAAGACACAATACTTCACAAGTATCTTGGAAGGATAACAAATACTGTCAACAATTGCAAAGAATGTAAAAATTGTATGATGCTTATTTTTTCGTTGTACATGTTGAATCCATGGATGTGATCCGATTTGAACAGTGCTGTATCGTATGGTCACATTGTGCATTACTAAATAGAGTTGCGAGTAGTGCACGTGCTGTCTCTCCCCCCTCTCTCTCTCTCTCTCTCTCTCTCTCTCTTTGTGTTTTTCTTTCATTGTCTTTTGCATGAATGTTACAAAGGAAGAATTCATTTTTTAAAATTCAGCGAGATAGAGAGAGAGAGAGACAGATAGAGAGAGAGAAAGGGAGAGAGAACTAGGATCGATATTTTACGATTCGCAGTGAAAGCGCCGTCACCTTTAACTTCTCAAATCGATTAATCCACAGGGACATTAACTCCTTCGGTAAACGCTTTATCAGGCGTTCAATCAATCAAAGAAAACACACAGGGTAATAACCACAGACGACAAGCATTACTTGCCAATTAGTTTATACGTACCTGAATAACCCGCGATCATTCCTTCGTTGAATTTCTCCGAGCGTCCCAGTCTTTCGGATCTAGCATGCAGCAGAGCTTTTTTCTCTCTTTCCTTCTCTCCATCATCGGACTTGTGGATGCTCCTGAGAAGAGAGTGGTCGGAGTGGGGAACGCCAGGGTCCTTCAGCAGACGCGCCGTCACTTTCCCGATGGACTCGCCCACACCGTGGAACTTGTACATAGGAATGTGGCCGGCATAGCTATGGGAAAATTTGAAAAAATAAAATGGGAGGTTATTTCAACTTTTCTCCAAGTGTCATTATCTGTGTTGTTAGTTTTGTATTGCACGTCTTGGTCGAATGATAACGGTGTCCTAAACAACAGGATAAAGCCTGAAAACAACGAGAAATTACATTAAGCTCATTTAAAGCTCTTCTTTATTTATTAATTATTATATGTATCCGTTGTTCAACTCTCTCTCTCTCTCTCTCTCTCTCTCTCTCATTGTGTGTGTGTTTGTGTGTAAAACAAACCGCCGAACTTACTACTGCCTCCTTTCGCTACATCGGCACAGTTTATCAATAACGAAAACTATCCGCGAAATTAATTTTCAAATAAACCGCAACTTAACCGGTCTCTTAAACTTGCAGCGTTAAGCCTGGCAACAAAGCCGTGAATCTGACAAAAGTTAAGAATTTTTTCAGCCTAAGATCCGTGCTGAAGCGCCTGTTAATCCTCTCTAACCGAGGAGTCAAAACTATGTACACATCAACACGACCGCTTTCTTTGACCTTCTAGATAAACTTCACCACAACTCTAAATCCAAATGTGTGTTTCCTGACTTTGCCACTTATCCTGACAGATATTCTAAAGACTTTAAATTTAATTGACAGTTTCTTTAGGCAACATTTATCAAATAAAAAAGCAAGCGCTTTAGTGCGGTGTTGTGTTTGTTAAATATGAACGTATAATTTAACGTTGATGTACGCGGTCTTTTAACGTCGTCTGGCCGCTGATTTTATGGACTGATGTACACAACAGCACTTACATCATTCTGAAAAAATAATCTTTAGTTCCAATAATAATAATAATAATAATAATAACATTGTTGAGCCCATTTACCTATTTTGAGAAAAAACGAATGAAAAAGTGAAATATTACTTTTCATAAATATACGCTGAACATTTCAAATGATATAAATTATCTGTCCATATGATACCACGTAATACATAAGTTTTTTTTTTTTTCTTTTTGAAAAACGGTAAATCTAACCTCACTATTAGAACAAGCCTTAATAAAACATTCCTTAATAACACTAATGTTAACAGTGCCTGCAAATACTGTATAGACCAAATATTATCCAAATATATCCTGGCTAAAATCACCGATAGACGCAGTTCAAAATTCTAGTTAAATCTTCTGATAAAAATAAAAATATCTAAATTTGCAAATTGCTTTCTTCTTTATAATTCCCATTTCTCTTTAGGAAAAAAGGAAAATAAGTGTGTAAATAGTCTAGAAATACAAACCCTTTTAAATGATAATAATCGGACTGGTTCATAAAAGTCGGCTTGCTCCTAGTCAGCATATTTCTTCTTTAAGTGAAATGTCAGTGATCTCAGATAATTATCGTTTCAAATATTTTGATTCGCACAACCACTGCCAAGAACTGTTGTTCCTTGTGATAATGTTGTCATTTCAACACAAACTACTTTTATCGCAATGAGAAAAGTTTTGTTTGCTCTTGGACACAAGACTGTTGCCATGACGACTCCTCATTAACAAACTGAAGCTTGCTCCGTTCTATTCAGTACTAAGTGGTCACAAGTACCCACTTCGGGTTATTTTGAGGGGCCAAAACTAAAGCAACGTAACACGGGCCTAATAGAACACGTAGCTCACGCGAAACCTGAGTACAATGGCGGAGATAAAAACACTACTTGGGCCCCTCAGAATGTATATCTTTTGATTGAAACTTAGTATTAAGTCGTTGCTATTAGCGTTTAATCCGCAAAAGACGCTCAAATCAAAAACAGCCTTAATACTTAATCAGCGCTTTTTATCAAAATTCAAGTCATTTAAAAAAAGTCAAATTAATTAATCAAGCTATTTCTCGGTACCACCTGTGTAGCTCTTCGACATGTTTGAATGCATTAAAACAATGCCATGAGTGATTTGATTGATTATATCTATATCATCATAATTGGTATATAATATCAGGCTTCAGCAAATAATGATAGAGGTTTTAGATTGTACAATTAATTCAACATTTGTGTATATACCAACCAGGGCTCCGTATCTCGAAAGGTTAGCTACGTTGCGCACGTGCGCAAACGTCTCGATTCCATGGCCCCGTATCTCGAAATAGAATCGGTTATGAAATCGAGACACTTGCGCACGTGCGCAACATAGCGAACCTTTCGAGATACGGAGCCCAGTACTGATAGCATTACGAAGTATCCATCCCGTTGCTCTAATTGTTTGCTCTGTTTGATAACAATTGTATTTTCTCAGCAATGCTCTGTAAACGAGTTACAACTAATTGCGCTAAGTGGGAGACAAGTTGATGAAAGTTTTCTGGGTGTGCGTCAATTGGCTACAGGTGGCGACACAAGACGAAGTATAAGCAAGAAAAGGCAACTTCAAATTTAACTTGAAATCGGAGTTGGAAGGAATATCAGAGGAAGAGAAGGTCTACCAGTGTGTGTGTGTGCGTGTGTGTGTGTGTGTGTGTGTGTGTTTGATCAGAAAAGACTATTAATGTTTAGCGTACCGTTTCACTGTCATGGAAACCGCGCTTACTAAACAACGAGCGCACATGAACACAAATCACAAACAGTTCGTGCCTTGTTTCCCTTTTTTTTTTTTTTTTTTTTTTTTTTTTTTTTTTTTTTTTTTTTTAAAGGGGGGGAAATCAGGAACAGAGATTGAGATCAAAGTATGTTCAAAAGGTATGCTCAAAACAGTTCATAAGGTTAGATTGCCAATTGGAATTTAGAAATCAAAGGCAAGTCGGTAAAACCCATTTGAATGTGCTAGAGATTACTTCAACATAGATCAAACCATGGATATTCGTAATCCCTTGATCAAACGAGGAAGATTACCGACCGTTGCACAGTTTATCACGTTTCTTGAGTTTATTCCATTAGCTCAAACCCACGGAGTCGAAACAGCATCATAAGCGCCAATTATTTTTCTCCATAGATAGAATCCTGGTTTAATTTTGTCGGCGTAAATATGTAGCGAGCCGGATACAAGAATATCTGAACCCAAAGCATGCTTTAACCGAGTCAAAGGGGAAGGCAGATGCTGTTCCCTGCCAGAAATCTTCTAATTTTAGCTGTTATTGATTATTTATATCGTTTCATACAATTTTGTACAATTTTAAGACATTTGGGAGAAAGGGGAGCTCTGTGTCCTCCAAGCTTATCTAAAATGTTTTTTATTCTTGCCCCCCCCCCCTCCCTTACCCCTCTAAATCCATTAGGGAGTCGCATATGTGTATATCACGTTAACACAATTTAGACAAATCAATATAACATTATCTTCGTTCTGTGATATTCTTGACAAATATCAATATATGATCGCCTTTACATTGCTGCCTGCATGCTGTGTACTATATGTGTTGCCATGACAACCTGTGGGCCAGAGATTCTCTAAGACCGCATTCACAACGAGTTGAGCCATGGCTCTACAAAGTCACGAACTAAATATGGCGGACATACATGAAAGGAAAACCGCCTAATCTTTTAATAGTCTCTCCGCCTCTCACACGCCTCCCCATGTGTCGTCCCAAAGGAGCCGAGATTTAATGACTGTACCCCCGCAGATCAGTAATCAATCATTAATCAATCAATAATCAAAAATCAAAAAACTAAATTATTATCGAATGAATTTAGGGGTGAAACGGCATTGGATAGAGACTTTACTGCCTTGGCGGAGGTCTGCGCTCTCGGAGTGCTTTTCTAGTTGGGAATGCTTCACGCTATATTGTCCGTCTTTATAATGAAAACGCCTGAAAAACAATAGCTTGCTTCGTACAATCTGCCGCAGAGGGACGATCACCTACCACAAATGGAAGTATGTGTTTTTTACGTCCAATTTACCAAGGAATACAAGCTCTGTGTAATAGGCCATGTAGTGTAACAATAGCTTAAAAACCCATGTACGTAAATTAAATAAACAATATATAACAGTTATTATTATTATTATTATTATTATTATTATTATTATTATTATTATGCAAGATGTCCAGGTGTATATCCCTACTTTTTATATGTAGCAGTGTAAGTGCATGCGATATATTCTATTTAATTCAAGTTGCGTAGTGCTTGTTCAAAACTTAATAATGCTATTTGACCATTTTTATTTCTTCTCAATATCAAGCAGTGTTTTTATTTATTTTTCAATATAATTGACGAAGCACTGAACACAAGCCAATGGTAAACATTTCATTTTATAACGAATAATGTATATTGCCATTCATAATGACTATCATTACCTTGTATTCTCTTCAGAACAACAGAGCAGTTCATCTAAGAAATTGTTCGTTTTGATCCTCTCTGTGTGAGCTGCTTAATGCTGGCATGTTTATTGCAGAATTGACAGACAAGACTGTCAACAGTAGCATAAATACTTGTCACCCGTCTTAACCTTCAAGTTTTAACATCTCCATATGCAATAACACGACCACCGTGTGTCTGTCTATGCAATCTTGGTAGATCCGTGATGGTACGAATGCAAATTCGAGCAAGCATAGAGAAAATCGTTTTAGCGTTAAAGGTACACAAACACGTTAGACTTTAATGTATAAAAGAAAATGAAAAATTTCCTTAAAATTCCAACACTTTAAAATCACCAAGGTATGGCACTAACCATAGGGCCTACCGAAAACCGTTTGCAGAAAGAGGATCTTTTTTTTAGTTCCAAGTTTATGAGTTATCTTCGTAATGGAAATGGAGCCTGTTGAATCTCACTCTTACAGGTTTTTTTTACAGGGGATATTGAGTATTATGCATGGCATGTCGCTGTAATACTCTGAATCATTCTTGCCATTGTTCTCAGGTGTATTGTCACGTTTGTATACATATATCTTCTTTGTGATATATTGCCGTTGGAAAAATAATTTCTATTTGTATGTTAGAGGCTATAACAGTGACTGATTTGAATTGATAGATGTCCACTTCTAAGCTTCGATCAATCAACAGCTGCATTACATTATAATACTGATCTGCAGATATAATGAAAAATTCTTTAAATAGGTAGATGAATTATAAAATTATTACAGTCCTGAATCTTGAAACTCAACATGCTCATATACAATGAAACCATTCCCAGTGAAACTATCGTTACCTCCGCCAAGGAGGTTATGTTTTCACCCCTGTTTGTCTGTTTGTCATCAACATAACTCAAAAAGTTATGGACCGATTTTGATGAAATTTTCAGGATAGGTGGGAAATGGGTTAACTTAGAAGTGATTATTTTTTGGTGGTGATCCGGATCAATAATCAATCAATAATCAATAATAATAAAAAAAATCGCTGCCTTGGCGGAGGTCTGCGCTCTCGGAGTGCTTTTCTAATTCTATGTAGGTCGATCCAACTCCACGGGGACTCTCGCTGAATGCAAAAATATTAACTGAATGACAAGCTTCCCAGCGTTGAATACAAAAAAGCTGGTGATAATACTAGCAGGAAATCGACAAGAGGCGTGTTAATCCGTTAATATGGTTGCATTCAGCGAGAGTCCCCACGGAATTGGATCGATCTACATAGAATGATAGGCTCATTGGGAATGTGCCCAATGTGTCACACTGCTATATGCTGGTAGATGTACAATGTAGATGAAAGCGTAGGCCGCACTTCTGGTCTGAAAGAAATAAGACACCGCCGATCTTCCCGTGTATCTCCTCCCGGCGGAATTCTAATTTCTTGTTGTTTACACTAAATACGCGTATGGCACTCAAAGGGCAAATGATGTGAAGGTTTGCGTTTTAATCAGAACTCAAAGTGCACTCCATGATTACTTCGCCCCCGTTCTGTCACGTGCTCCACTGGTACTTCTTCTCTTGTTTGTTAAGCCGTTCATTATCTCCAATCTGGACACAAAAATGTCTTGGCCTCAGATCCTCACACGTTTGCGATAATTTATTTATTTTTCTAATCATTACGCCTGCACATAGGCTTTGAATTTCTCTTATAACTTATAATGGAACATAACACAATAGAAAAAATGTAAGAAATACCACGAAGGGGATTTAGCATAGACGTCATCACTTTGTCATTACGTTTTGCGGACCAATTATTTCAGGACACGCGCATTTCTGTCAATTTCATGCAATTAAGATAATGATAATTACAACAGTTATAAGTTCTTGATTCTCCAGGCTTGGTCTGATCCATTCATCCTCTACCGTTGGCTGCAGCTAATAAACAGATAGTGATCATGAGTTACCGCATTTGTTGGTAAAAAATAAAACAACTGCAGCCTTGGAAACTTTGATAACATCAGGCAGAAAATTCGACAAAGGAATTAACAATAAAAATTGGCATAGCCAAAACCATTTTCGACAAGATAATGAAAATCCTCAAAAAACAAACCAAACTAAAAATATCTCAATTAGTTTAAGCTAGAATTACAGCTTGATTGTTTACAGTTAAACAAATAGAT